CCCCAGTCATTTTCTCCTCATTACAGAGTCTCTCTGTCAGCCTTGTCCTATGTAATTCTCACTCAATTACAATCTAAATGAAGCACAGGACTGCTTAACTTGCTTTGCCTCTTCACACTGTTTAATTTGTGACGGTAACAAACTCTGATGAGGCCTCTGCAAAGGTTCATAAATTAAGCAGTCCAGGCTGTATTAATCATCATTGTCAGAAAGATAAATGTGCAATACTAAATGTTTCCATATGAATGAAAAGACTCCATGACAATGACTGCATGGTTTCCAGACAGACAATTTGATCAAGGGTTGTTTGCACATCACCAACCAATAAAATTATTTCAGAGTTTCTGTCTGAGCTAGCATAAAACCTTCATATGCAATGTTTGTACCAATACAGTTTTCACTATTAGCATTTGTGTTCCAGAGGTAAAACTAGGCCAGTGTGATTAATGTCATCATCCCAATGCGAGGAGCATAGACGCCATAATAAAGGGATGTCAAAGGGGAGAGCACGAGTGGGAAGGAGAGCGGCAAAAATAGAGAGTGACTTGAGATGAGCAAAAGATACAGAATAATATAGGAAGAAAGAAAAAGTGGGAGAAGCAACGAACCAGTAGAGGTGAAGACATAACATCAAGAGACAAGAGCTACACTGATCATCAACCAAGGAAAAGGAGCAAAACAAGAAAATGAAATGCATTTGCCTGATGTGGACAATGCATACAAACAGGCAGTGGATAATTAGTCTCAAGAGCAACATCAGCACACACTAAGTGGGCAAAAAAGCTCCCAATATTAAAAGCAGCTGTCTTCAAATGACAGGGCAGACATATTACAAGCTGGTGGAGAGTCTCACCCTTCCCTCACTTTAGCGCTATAGGACTTTAAACTGGAAACTATACAGGTAGCTACACGGGGAGGGCCCCAGCTCCAAAATCTTTAAACTACATACTGAAAAAGAGTGTCACTGTTAATAAAATCAGTCTCTGAAAACATTAAGACTAAAGAGTAAAACTAGGAAAATGCAGGCAGCATGCTGACATTTAAGAAACATTTACTGAAAATGAAGTGCAGTGAATGCAATGTTACAATTACTTTCACTTGGATGTGTTTTGTGTAAAGGAATGAGTAACTCAGCAGTCAAACATCTAAATCTGCCTCTAGATGTTTGCTAAGAAATATAACTATTCATATTATCTGGTGATTTGGCTTCTCCTCTCAAGATTCACACATTCCTCTGCAGAGCAGGGTTGGGCCAATGGACAAAAGACAACACGACGGTGAGCTGGCATCATGATTTAACTCATACTGCAGGACATTGGAACATGGACACTAGGTATGAACAAATAACCACTAGCAATGAACACAACATGTTACCATGGTAATGTTGCACAACAAATATGGCAACAGCTGTAGCCTCAAACTGTTTTGAAAACATAAATATTAACAATGAAGGACAAAATGTCACTGGCTAACTTTTATTAACTAAACCTAACCCAACACAAACTAAATGACTAAAGTTTGACTGAAACTAATACATAGTTCAGTAAACTAGGACGGACTTAATCATAATCAGGTGCCAAAATTTTATTTATTCAAAGAATGATCCATTTTTTGACCAAATAGGAGGGAAAATCAGCAAACTACAATTAATTTAGGTGTTTTCATAGAATATATAATGGTCTTCAGGACTGCTTATTATAACACTGGCGTCAGGTCGGTCTGTGGGATCTGATGTGGTCATGGGAAACGCAAATATTCTTGTATATGAACAGAATCCCATCGCCCAACCCTGACAAAGACTACTGCAGCCAAACATGTTGTGTCATAATTTATATTGCTGTTCAGAGAATTACTCTCCAAGTGTTGCAGATTTCATTCACTCAACATTCACGCAATTCTAACTGATCTGAAAGTCACAATATGGTGAAAAACGCTGCCTGTTGTTTCTCGGAGACGCCTCCAACACAATCACCATGCACGTCATTAACACAGTGCACATGTAAAAAAGTCAGCGAGATGTCCTGTTATCACCTTGTCCGTTGTAATGATTCACTGCAAGAGCTGACTCACATCAGTGAGCAGGAAGTGATCCACTGAACCAGAAAAATGAAGACAACAACAGGCCTAACAGAGAAAATACAGACCTGAGTCTTCCATCAAACCTCCAGAGAGGTGTTTAGGAAAGAACTGAGATGCTGACAGAACATTTTTAGAGCTCTAAAAGTGCCCAAACCCTGGTTATTGTTGTTCAGTTGTCATGAGTATCAATGTTTTTCCACATGGAGACAAAGCTTCACACTCACAGCACAAAGAGAAAACCATACAGACACAGAGAAAAAATAAAAACTCAGCACAGAATGACTACTACTTTGCACAAATCCAGGACAAAACGACCCTTATTTGCTCTGGTGGCAATTACTACAATTACACAGGCTCAATATAAATCCAAAGCCATGATCTTTAATCCTTTGTTTTCCTCTTCTTGTGTTCCCAGCAACTTCCTGCAACTGCGCATTGAATACAATCTCTGCCATGTGTTTATACACTACTGTAAAAACGGAAATGGCTGCACATCAGCTGAGCTACTGCTACATTTTTGCAGCTTTTAGGGATACACTGTGTTTGTGGATTTTGCTCCTGGTGCAGAGCTGCCTTTGTTTTCATCAGCCTACCCCATCAGCACTGCCATCCTTTTTCCTACATGCACTTATAACAGCATCAACATCTGTGAGCAGAGGCAGAGTATAATAAAAACACCTTTCACAGAAACATCTCACTGTGTGCTTCCCAGGAGAATGTGTTACTGCAGTGGAGCTGCAAGAAGCAGGTGAGCAAAAACCACAGCCAGAAAAGCAATTATCACTTAGAAACATCATACATATTACAATTTTAGAAAGAAATCATCCAATCCAGAGGTTAAAAAATAGACAAACTGGTGCACTGGATGCTGGATAATAAACACAAAAGAAATCCTCTGGGTTATGTGGAGCTGAAACAGAAGCAAGCACGGACAATTCGCGCTGCAGGCAGAGAGAGGGAGCTTCACTCTGGAGATGAAGACAACACATCATAATGAGCCTAATGCTACACGGGATGTCACTTGTCAGATAGGAAGCAGTCAGCCCTGGAAATACTGCTGTTACAGTAACTCACACACAAACCACTCTCACAGTCATGCACTGCAGTACAGCAAAACACACAAAACAGCAGGCTAAGAAAAACATATGTGAACGCCTGGGCCACACAACACGAAGGAAAAAAGCACTTCATCTTCTTGAGTGGTGCCAACACGGCTACATGACAACACCTTTCACAACAACTCAGACACCCACTCAAAATTCTGTAAAACAACTGAATTACTAGATGGAAAAGCCAACAGGACTTAAAAAAAAACAGTGGTGGTTGGCAGAAAGGAAACATAACAACTGAGACCACCCAGGCTGGATTTAATACTGCACTAAAATTCAGTTTAATCATCACCTGTAGTGGGCGTCTATGTACACCGGCACGTTAAAAAAAACAAAACAACAACAACTTGAAATGCATGGCTTTTGGCTGTGGACCGCTGCAGATCCAAATATTTACCAGTTTATTTATGTGATCTAAAATTATTAGATATAGACGAATAAAAATAACCACATGCGATTAAGTGCAAAACAGACTCATTTTTACTTAATCCCAGTGTAACCAAGCAGTTGATTATGCAAGGTACTAAACAAGGAGTCATTCACAGAGAAGACAAAGATGTAGACTCCAACATCCATGAGCCTCAACTACTACTACTACTACTACTACTACTACTACTGAGCAGAGGACTAGTATCAGTAGTGTGGTTTGAGTCAACTAGTACTGTATCGCAGTTGTGGTCATGGCAGCTGTAGCTCTGAGGGTAGAGTGGATTAGCCATTAATCGTCCGGTTAGTGGCATAGTATTCTCACTCAGCACCGTGTCTACACACATGGCGTAGCATGAGCGGCACACTAGCAGCAGCAACAGCAGCTCCTCTGCTCCATCTGTGTCCACTCTAGATGCCTTCAGCCACTGTACTGAGTTGTAGATCACTTGCATCTTAGAAATGCTCATAGCCCAGTGCACAGTCACTGTAGTTACATGCATGAAACACAGATGCATAGACTTGAAGCATAAAAATACACTTCAGGTGGAGTTTATGAGCATACAGTGCGAGTGAAATTCAAGCAATTAGGTGGTCTGGGTAGACAGCTGCACTAAGAAACTTAAGGACATCCTGTCAGACGTGAAACTGACTAAAAAAATAACAGCTGAAATGCTTTTTGTACACACCGTTATTTGCAGGTACAGAGTGAAGAATATAAATGGTCTTACTTATAAGGTATCAACTGTCTGAGCAATCACTGAAGTGTAAAACAGCCTGGGAGGCCCAAACCAAATAAAAACTACCTACTCATTTCTGACAGGCGTCTGTGGATGGCTGACAGCTGAATAGCAATTCACATGACTAATATATTTTTCAACTTATAGACAGGTTGTCACTCGGAATGAGTAATTTCAGGTGCTTCTCCTTTTTGTCTCTTTGTTGGTGGGGAATGCCAGAGTTAGTTTGACAATACTAATGTAGTAATATCATTTTATTAAAACTTTGTGTCAAATGCAGCTGAACAGACAAACAAATGCTTGCTAGATTATCTCCCGGCATTCACCGACCACTGTACTGCTTTAATAATTTTAATTGGAAATGTTTTCATGAGCATTAATTGTGATGCAGAAACAAATGGGATTTTTCAGATCGTCACAGTTATAATCAGTCTCCCCCATAACAGGCTCTTTGGTCCATTTTATGGGAACCATTTAGACCTGAATTACTTTCCAGCTGCATTTCCCAGCAATCGCAAAACCAAAGTGTACGCCAGAAAAACATAAGAAAAAAAAAAAAAAAAAAAAAGAGAAGATTTTGTCATGGAGCACAACATGGCATCTTTTGAAAAATGCTGTTTGGTTTAAACACAGTGAGTGTACTCACATTGATCGATGTTCCCGTCTGCTTTCCCCTTCTCCTGCAAACAGAGAGCACACACACAAAAGTGGTTATTACAGGCTTGGAGGAGCGAGACAAAAACAGCCCTTTCTGCAGCTTTGTGCAGACCATTCGTTACTACACCTTTTACCTTTCTGGCCTCAGAGAAAGACTTTGACAGAAAACAAAAGGTGAATATACAAAAAGAGAATGAAAAGAACAGAGAGACGGGAAGTGAGAGAGAACATGGTGAATGACAACAGAGTAAGGAGAAGACCTTTACAACAGTGGATCCCAGAGGCAGTTCAGCCAACCTAATTTTCTGTCTGTGACCATGATCTTGCAGGGCTCCAGACTGACTATTTTTGGCGACACTGCAACTAAATTTTATACCTAGGTGCACCAGTGCAACTTGCAAATATGCCTCCCACTCGTTTATTTTAATGATCATTGTATATTGTAAAACACCAGGAGGGAGAGAGGGTATGGTCGTCAGAACAACGCAGCTTTCTGCAGGAAAGGTCATCTACAGGACTTGTGCCTGGTCCACAAGTAGGTTACTCTCGCCCTCACTCTGCCTTTTGATGCCAATTTAAAGAATAAGGCCAGTCATTGTCTATGCTAATAGTGTTTTCAGAAATCTCCATGCGGAGACTAAAACCGACAATGAATTACCTCTACTCATGGTTAATGTCTGTCAGCCCTGGATTATTTTACTCATCTGTGCCACGGCCCTCTGTTTGGGTGACACGTGTTTTCATTATGAAACCCCAGACCCTACTATGCTGCCCCAAAGTCTCCAAATGGCCATAATTTCCTCAAGTCAGTGTCAACCACACATGCACAAGCTCTCGGCTTCATTTACATTCCACCGTCTCCTTACGCTCAAGTCTGGGGTGCGCGCAACAAGAAATATGTCACCCATTACAGCGAGCTGTTTCACTGATGAGTTTTTAATCCTTTTTGAACAACAAACAGTGGTCTACGACATACACAGACAGACATTAACAGTGAGTAGAGGCAATTCATTGTCGGTTTTAGTCTCTGTATGAGACTCAAGCTTTTCAAAATTTCCAATTCCTTCACTGCTCTCCAAGCACTCTCCTTGTTAGCTAATGCAGCACCTTGTGTGCACCACACAATTATGAATATTCAAAGCTGAAAACTGAGGTGTGCAGTAGAGACACCTTTCAGACTTTTATATAACCTCTTAAAAATAAATAACACCAAGCTGCATCTTTTTTTTTTAACAAGTGATATACAGAAAGTGCTGAGGATGGCAGAAGGGAAGATAGTTGTGCTCCAGGATCACTGAACAGTGACAAGGGCAGATAAGAAAATGTGAGCCCGTATCCTGGTCCTTCTGCATACTAAACTATCACAGGAGATAAAGACATCAAATTCCAGACAACTGGAGGTAGGTTTTAAGAGTAAATATATAAAAGTGAATGGGGTAAAAAATAAAATAAAAATACAAGTCAGCATGAATTAACAATGATGTGAATGGAGATGTAGGGTTTGTGAAAGCTTTGGATGGTTGAATGAAATTCACTGCCACTCACTGGACAGTAAGTTGTGCTTCCATTTTGACCTTTACCAGGGATCTAGCTAACCAGTGTGTGTTTGGGGGGAAGGGGATTATGGTACCACTATTACTCATGCTGTGGGGACATAAATCTGTTTGCACAGTCACAATGTGGGGACTCGATGTCCTTATGGGAACAAGCAGCAGAGTGGTGACTTGGTCTAAGGTTAAGGCAGTGTAGCAGTTATGGTAGGTCAATGTAAATTCCCCTGAAGTGATGGAACCACAACATGTGTGTGTGTGTGTGTGTGTGTATGTGTGCACAAGCTGTGAGAACTCTGGTGTGCTCTGTGTGCTTGTTAGCTACTGGTCACTTGTGCTTGTTGCAGCACCAGTGAGGTCACTCCACATAAATGTATCTGAACTTGAAATGCAATGTAACGTACACGGGCAAAACAACAGATTGACATGTCAATTAAGAAACAGAACACAATCAGGTCTTCCAGTGCAGCACTGCTTCTGAAGCAGCACATACAGTATGTGGCAGCAATTGGAAGTGTTGTGACATTTTGCATTCTTGTCCCTCAGTGTGTATGTCACCAGTAATGAGACTCCATGATAAAATGTGTATGCCTGCAAGGCTCTCTTGGCTTCCCAGGATACCGAGTCTCGTTTCAGTGCCATTGCATGTCATCGCCTCGTCCCAAGTCTCTGCATCTCTATCCCTCTCTCTTTTTGCCATCTGTCCATCTTAATTGTACACGTGCTTCCTCGTGCTGGCAGAATGAAACTGAGTATGCTCATCAGCATGGCCTTCCATCATCTCAAGTGCTGCTGTTTGATCAATTGATTACAAAATCAAGCACAGAGGTGAAAGCAAGGCTTTGTGCTTCTGTTTAAAAACACTGTCCTCTCTTTACCATAACTCACCATATTGCTTTACTCCGTCAGCTTTAGGGGATTTTTATGGCATAATATAATAAATAAATGTATTTTTACCTTTTATATACCTTATGCAGTATATCCATTTAGAACCATGTTAAATTAAATGGTGTGCTGTTACATGGTTTTAACTGATAAATGGCAGCCAATCTGAAACTAATCATTTTGATGGCTGCGGCATAACCTGGCAGTATTTGTGTCTCTGTGGTTTCACACAGTCAAGAGTGAGACGTACCGTGAGCGGAATCAAAATAAATACGCCCTCCAAAAGTCACAGTACTGTAATGTTATTGACGTATGTCTGTTTCATGTTTGCGTGCTTTATTGAGTTTGGTGGTAGCAGCCTCCATCTTGGATGCCGTTTAAAACGCCCACACACACACACACACACACAAAAAAAAGGAATCTGACATTGTTGCAACAGGGGCTACTGACATTTTGAGAGGATGCGATTTGAACAGCAGGCCAATTTAAGCCAAGCTGTATCTGTTATAAAGTCTGCTTGAGTAGGTCTCTGCTCTCTTATACGAGTTGCTATGCAGGAACTCTTCATTCAAGGACCCATATGTTTGCGTGTGCCCACTTTCTCTCTTTGGCTTTGAAATCCACTCAACAACAAAACCTTCAGGTAGAATTACTTGCCTGTATTCCAACTCAACAGTGCAGTTTCAATTTATTTGGTAAGATTCTTACAGTTTTAGAATCTGACAGAAACAGGATATTGATACTTTGACCTCTGATTATGGCAATAAGGGAGGAGCAGGGACAGAGCATGTACCTGATACCACTTATAACACCCATGAAAGCTGTCAGACACTACACACTGATGCCACTAAACAGCAACATTACATTCACCTCGTGCTGGCTTAGCAGGTCGTTAGGCAGTGGAGAAGAGATTTCAGAGGTTTGGGGTTATTTTAAGATAAGTGACGATGACAGAAAGCTGACTGCAAGCTCTTTTCTCTGCTGTGTATCTAAGGGGAGGGGTGCTCACAGACACGCTGTGTGCACGTTCACAGACACACACATACACAGTGTGCCTGCAGACGTGGAAAGTAATTTGTACTAGTAGTTAGTTCATTTACTCAAGTACTGTACATAAGTACAATTGAGCCATCTGTTCTTTGAGTATTTCTATTTTCTGCTACTTCAGCTTCACCACATTTCAGAGAAAACTCTTGTACTTTGTAGTCACTGTATTTATTTGATAACTTTGGTTACTAGTTACTTTTCAGAAAGAGGTTAACAAAGCAAAATACAGTATAATCGGAAGATTTATTCATTTTTGGTGTAAAACTCACAAGCAGTTCAAATTATAAGCATATAAGGTAGCTAACATTAATTCCACCTTTACCAGCTCCTACATTTAACATGATGTACACAATAATACATCAATACTTATAAATGAATAATATGATGTAGATCAGTGTAAACTGTTCCTAATCAGTACTTTTACTTTCAGTACTTAATATTTTTGTACTTTAACATTTTGATGCAAGACTTGCACTATGGTATTACTCCTTTTACTTAAGTAAACAATCTGAGTATATCTTCCACCACTGCGTGTCCGTGAGCACGCACACACACAGTGGACAACAGGAAGAGACTCTCTGCGAGTGAGACGACAAAGCTGGTGGGCAACAAAACCCACCAGTAATGGAGAGAGAAATTAAACACCCGTTGAACAAGCAGAACACAAGAACGGATTTGCTGAAATGCGACGTCTTCACTCTCAACATGGCTGCCGTTCACCCACTAAGCCCATACGGTCCTCATTCTGCTGAAAACAATTATATGTACTCGTACTCAGTCTGGAAAAAAAAAGTGGTATTGTGCATCCATACTCATCACTGGCTGTTTTCACAAGAGTTCATCCATGTTGACTCAAAAGTTATTCCCTAATGTCCCTAATTCATCAGTGCACCAGGAAGCTACTTAATGAAATAAAAAGAAGTCAAAAAGGGAGAAACAGAACATATATGTAAGTGGTAATACTTTGACATGCTTAACTTGGTGAATATTTTTTATTCCCCCTATATCATTTGCAGGAGCACTTTCATATTCCCGTGGTCCTGGCATGGTCTGGTCAACAATGTCATTTATTTAAATCTGTTCCTAGCTTCTAAAGACAAAGTGATAAACAGCAGCTTTACATTTTTAGATGCTACCTTAGAAGGAACACCGGGGGGGTGCAAATGATTTGCTACCTACAAAATCAATGAGAACAAATCACTGCTGCAAATGCACTGTTTTAAGAGAGTAAATTATATTGATTTGATGAACATGGAAACTGTAAACTGTAGCCTACAAGAAAACCGATCTGTTAAGTTCTATTTACTTGGCTGTGTCACTGTTGTATCAGAAAGAACCAAGTGTCTTTGGCAATCTTACACATCGATACTCATTCTTGGTGTCATGACTTAATTTAGAATCACTTCTGATTCATAGTGAAAATTGATTCAATAAGAAAAGCAGCACCATGTTTTTCCTCTTACGCCAGTGCAGTGTTCACCAAGCCACCGGCTCGGCTGCTGGCTGTATGCTTCAGGTCACTGTCATGCCGAAGGGGTCTGAATACTTTGTGAAGCCACTTTTCACATCCTGTCACTTCTTGTAACCACGATACACGAGAAACTGTTTTATTAGAGCTGTGAAATAGCCACAGACTTTTAGCAAAATCTGTAAAACAGGGAAATGTTACTGAGCATGATGCTGTATTCGAGTCCATGACAATGTGATAAAAACTTTTTTCATCACATATTTTTCTATCAAATTCTGTTAGCATCACTACCTGAACACAATGCAATTTTTGTGGTTATTTTATGGTATGCCAGTTGGAGCGCATAACACCTGACACCTAAGATATAATCCACCGTTTATTTATGACCACCGCCCACCCTGCATCCCACTATTACTAGTCTGCCTTTTGGTTCTTATTTATGGATCCTGCACTTTCTTTCCCAATCGGGATTTTACGACAGCTCAAGATCACACCTAAAGCACTTCACACAGTGCACTATGACTGGGACACTTGTGGCTCTGGTGGCCCAGCATACACTCACTACACACCCACAATGCAATGTTTTGTGTGAAATAGACACAAACAAAATGACTCGTGTTCCATCACATGGGTGGTACCCCGTAAAGGAACGTAGGTAGTAAAAGGTACCGGATGGGTGTGCTGAGCATGTAAGTATTCCCTAGCACTATAATTACAGCAGAGTATTATTGCCTCATATAATGGTAACCACTGAATAGGTCCTGTCTGCCTGAAAGGTTTTCTTCAGCTTTGAGAACAAATTATCAAGAGACAGGCTGAAAAATTGTGAACTAACCCTCTGGGGACTGCAGTGAAATAAAAAGTAAATGTTTATGGGCACAACTCATAATCAAAATGTAAATGTAGCTGGGTAGCCCCGATGCTGAAAATCAAAACACAAGAGACGAATCTGCCGCTGTGTGGGCACAGCTACTTTTTCTCGTCATTGTTCCTGCGGTTATTCTGTTTTCATTCAATACAAAATCCAGGACCAAGCATCAAACACAGTACATCCGCCCCTCGACACCTACACCAACAGTATCTGTATTCCTCTCACTCTCCTTTTTAAGCCTGTGACACCTCAAAGAGACTCTATTGTTCCCCTGTTTGCATGTCATGTATTGTTTCAGGGGGATTTTAGTTATAGAAAAAAGGAAGCTTGGCACCACGTCTTCATTCCCACAGGAATTTAGAATACATAATCATGTGAATTCATGGATTTGCACGATTCACCCCAGGGTCAACTTTATATTCTGGCACCAACTGACAGCGTTTTAAGCTTCAATTCTGGCCAGAACAACGGTGGGAGAACGCCTGGGAATTTGTGTTTTGCATCATGGGATTTCAGGGGACAGAACCACCAGGGCAAAACAACACCCCACAGCCGGCTGCCAATTTGGCAAGGCCCAAAGTAAGTCAGACTTAGAACAGACTAGGAGGCGTTCATGCTTCATTTAACAAAGAATTAGGACCACGCAAGGCTGTGTGGTGTGTGTCTGTTTCTGCACAGGTCTTTTTGTCAACCTCTCACAGCTTTATGTTCCTGTTATGTAAACAACATGCTAAAAGATCTCATTCTTGCCTGCAAGGGCCGGTTTGCTCGCAGGGCTCATCATTCTTTCCTCTCTTTAACTCGTGAATCTCCACCATGATAGATGCAACCGGGCGAGCTCACTGAGGAACTTGCCCATGAGTGTTTAAGCATTTATCTCAAACATGTTGTAAATGGATGAACAAACAAAAGCCCAGTTTACAAATGAAGCACACCGAGAAAAAAAGGGGACTACCTGCTTGTTGTCTTTAGTTGCAACCATTAACAAAGTACAGTAAGGACCAAATGAAGTTATGTGCATAGCACACAGTACACCACCATGCGTGTTCAGCCAGCATTGTACAATAATTAATCTTAATGATCAGACTAAAGCCAACAACATCTGTGGAGTAGTACACCTCTGCATATTAATCGTCAAAGCAAAACAATACCATTTTGTACGTAATTGCATGTACCCAGATATGTTGCCAGGGATTATAAACACAGACTGGTGAAGTGTGATGATCACAATTCACTCTTCATTTTCACTATTTGAGATTAGGTATTGAGGAGGAGAGTTCATTTGTGAGTCACAGCCTCAAGCCTTAATAACTGGTGTTGGCTCTGAGTCACGCCTGGGAGAGCTCTACTTAGCCTAGCTCATAACATCTAGCTGGTAATGCTGACAGGCTTTTACATTCACAAGCAGAGACACCTCAGACATGAACAAGACGTTTATTTGCCTTCTGTCATACACACACAACAAACTGGCATGCTGATAAGTGAGCTCCCCTGAGCTACACAACGCTACAGGCCAACAAGCAGAGCACGGCTTCTACTATGCACTGGCAAAGATAGTCTATTTTTAAATTAATATCAGGGTTCAGTGCATTAGCTTAAAAACCAGATTCACAAAAATAAATGGTAGAACACATTAACTGAATAAGAAAGGATTCAATATGCCTATTTATTTGTTCTACTAGTTGACTAATATTAGAAATCGCCAACCAAGTTAAACACAGCTACAAATCTATTCAAACACGGTCGACTCATCCTAACACAACCTAACCAATACCTGCAACCTGTGTTACTTTAATAACTTTTGTTCCCACAGGTACGAGCGACAACAAACGGACTATCAATATCAGGCTGCTGTGAAGAAGCTGCAGTCTGGAGACACAGTATAGGTCCAGCCAGGGACAACGAAACCAGTGTACGAACAGATTCTCTCTTTCAGATAACATGACCAAACAGTGTCCTTGTGATTTTCACAGAGTAACTGTTAACCTCTTGTCCTCACCGTGTGCCCATTTCTCTCCCTATCAATTTCCTTTTCTCTTCAAAAGTGAGCAGAGAGACAGAGAGGAAGTGGAAGATAAAGAGTAAAGATTTCTGCATCACACTGCAAAGTAACTAAGCAACACTGGGGGGGCCGTTCTCTCACAGAGAAAACAGAAATCATTCGTTGCATATTAAGATACAGCTCCACAAACAGTGCTAGGAGGCACAGCAGAGCTGGGCAATATGGCAAAAAATATCAATCAATATCCATAATTCTCAATACTGTATATACAGGGCGTTTATGATGGAGACGTGCAACATGATGAACACAAAGATACATACAGCGTCTTGTAGTGACAATGTAATGTTTACAGGATAAGGTTTCATTTGAATTTTCAGGGTATACTCAGTTTTGGATTGAATCTGAGATTAACCACAAGGTTTACTGTGCTTCCAAAACGTCATTTATTTTTGAGTCATTGACCCAACACTCTGCAGACACCAGTGTCTAACGTTTGTACTTATAGGCTTGTGTAAGCTGCTGTGCAACTAGACAAGTGTGCGCGTCCTAGTGGTGCCAAAGTGCGTCTCCATTTACCCACGTCCCAGAAACTCATCTCCTGGACAGCTTTACAGAATATGCTCGTTTTGTTTATATTGGCAACATTACATTAGAGACACATTCCTCATATTTCTGAAAGTAAAATCTAATGAGGTGCAGTCACGCGTTTAGGCCACAAGCCAAAACGCAACTGATTTGCAGTAAAGTTGTTCTATACACTGCAAGTGTAGCTAGATTTTTACCCTTTTCGCTTTATTTATCCTGGTCTATGCACCTTGGCAGTGGGTGATGTTGTGCCAGAGGTTTCTGCTTTGCCATGTAATCAGTCATTCGCTCGTGTATTTCAGAGAGAGGAGAAAACACTACAATCACCGACTGGAAGTGAACCCTCATCTTGGTCTACATGTTGTGAAAACACTACTGAGCTACATACACAAGACCAGCATGCGTTGCTTCAACACGGCTTCGCCTTTGCATCATAATAACTTAATAAATTTTATGGTAGATACGTTAATTAATCAGTGACTTACCAGCTGTCTGGTCTTCCTGTACGTTAATTAGTTAGAAGGCGCGCGTCGGCCGAAAAGCGTCCACTCATGAGTGCATTTTCATCACAAACACACACTTTAATGATTGAATCGAACTCACGCATCCAAAACAAAACAAAACAAAAATATCTGCTATAAATAAGGAAAACTTTTCGTAGTAAACCGCGACCTTCCATTGACGTGAAACGCCATTTCAGTGAACTGACAAATGACCGACGGGGTTTAGAACACACCGGACACCTGGAGGCTGACAACCAATCCGAATCCTTTCTCCGCCTAGACTGACACACCTAACAGTTCAACCAGCCAATCACAGCAGTTTGTTTCTTACCTGATTCCCACGTGAATTTTATCGACAGATAAAGTCATGAAACAGGCATGAAAAGGAGCGAGCTACTCACTACTGCCAAAGAGTGATAAAATCTTATTAGAATAAAACAACATTTTAATACTTTTATTTTTTACCATTTAAATCTAAATAATTTAGAAAAGAATAAATATTTTTAATTGTCAACAAAACATTTATGGACATTTTCAAGGTGTGATTTGCTTCCATCTTTTCTCAGTCTTGCTGAGAAATATGGCTTGTTAAAACTGTCATTTTCATCTTAACTGTCCATATTGTACCATGCTGGACAAAAGACAAGAAACAAAAATAATGTTGTATTATTATGTTTCACCTCCAGGGATCCATCAGTTCTTTGTGGTATCATGTTTTGCAGAAGGCAGACTGTGCTAAATATGATAACAAATGTGTTTTGACTATATTTTAATCATAAAACTTAATTTTGATGTTGATATGATTGATTTATGTCAACATACAATAAGCGTTTCTCTTGCTTAATGGAGGGTGAAGGTGATGGACTCAGTGGGAAGCAGTACAGTGTGTCTATATGTGTGTATGTGATGTACGGGGATGGGGTGGGGGTGTTGCACAGGCTGTTTACCATGTGTGGCTCCAGGGAGGAGGTACGTGATGTGGTGGCTGTATCCATGCTGCCTCGCCTGCTGCCCTTGTGCCCTTCAGCCAGCCAGCACCCTGAGGTTCCCAGCAGAGTGGCCACAGCCACAGCCCAAACACCCAGGCTGCCCATGAGTGTCTACCTGTGTGGAAACGTAAAAACACAATGCACATAAAGTACTTATGTTTATTCCCTTGTACCCACCGCAGTTTCCAAAAATAAAACATGTTTCACAGCTTTGTAGTTCTCTTCATGTGGGTTTAGCAAGAATGGAATAGTGAATAGTGTACTTCTATATACTGTCCCTGAGAACTGAGTCATGTTCTATATGTTCCTTTATCAGTATGATTAAATAAAACATGTTAAAGTTGTGCTGCTATTTAACTACAAGTCTTCACACTTTAGCTGTGAATTTAATCTGTCATAATCCTCATTGTATGCAAATGAATTTCACGCCCTTATTTTCTTTGATTCAACTGTGGTCTAACAGTACAGGTAACATCATAACATTCTCCGCAAAGGAGATAAAGACAAATGAGTTGAAATCACATTCAAATAAGGCCAATTTCTTTGTTTAGAAGTACACACAATTGTAGTATTTGTTGCAAAAAGATCCGCCATGTGAGACAGATGAGAGCAGTTTCCAGGCAATTTCCATCTTACCGAACAAAGGCAAATATGGACAGGCCTAAATATGACACCAGTAACCATATTTGTGTTAATAGCATCTTTAATCAATACTGATTCAATACTTCCAGTAAGAATTAACAAATCTTGTGCTGTTTGTAGAGTAGATGTCTATATTTCAGGAGTGTATTCGGGACATGCATTAACAGATACTGGAAATGATGTTCATGCACACACACACAGGGACACACAATCGAACAAATACCGCACATGCACTCATCATGCACACACGTACGCACACATAATAATACAGCTATGTAAACATCAAAGCCCACATGGATGGGGATAATTATCTGTATTATAAAGGACACAGAAAATCTTTTGATGTCAACAAAGAGACAGCCCTGTGAAGTCGCAAATGGTGCCGCGTGGCATGGGAGCTTTACAGATACGCTCAGAAGATCACCGCTGTGGTGCAGACACACACAAAAACAGACCAAAAAAAAAACGCAAAGCATCATGACTGCACTTTTGTGTGCAACACTGAAGAGTATTGAACACCTGAAGAAGCTACACCTATTTATGTATTTATTTGAATTAATAGTTCTTTTGGTAAATGATATAAAAATGGCAAGCAAACATTAAAATGTGTTTTAAATGCTAGTGAATGAACCAGAGAGCGACTCATTTCAAGTGGAATAAAATCACAAAATTGTTTTCATATGGGGGAAAAAACCCCATTATAATGCAATCAAATTCTCTAAGAACACAAACAGACGGTGTTAAGTGTTGAATTAGCAGCACTCTGACACAGTCGCATCAAAAAATGAGCATGTATTACACGTTATTGTACCAGTGTTCCTGTTATTGTGTCCATCCCCTGTGGGTAGTGTCTACCGCCCTCCAGAAGAACTCTGATATTTTGCACTGGTAAGAAACACACTATTTATTGGAGTCCATCAAAGCACTGGCTTGTTGTCTAGTCTTATTAGTTGATACAGGTCTTTATAGCTACTATGTGACACGGCCGTTTGTTATGTGTATCATTTTACTTTCAGGTAATGTGTTTATTGTTTTTACTGTGGTCCTCTACTTTATTGTGTGACTTTATTGTGTGTTTTACTGCAGAACCGGTCTGAAAACTAATCTCCCTAAGGGGGTTGTAAAGTTTGTAGCTCACCTGGAAACACACAGTGCATCTCAAACAGTGCAGGTGTTTATGATGTTAAATGTCTGCAGCAGTTCAGTGGATCTGATTCACCTTGACCTGGTCCTGCTGGATGAAATGCAGTTGTCTACTTTACATGTCTATTCTCTTTTTTTTGCAATAAACAAGAAAACAAATCATTTGAATCATTTTATCATTAATTTTCAACAATAAAATCATCATGTTTTTGATGTTGACTCATCTAATGACCTTTTCAGTCTTTTCTCTGCAGGAATAGGCCGAAAGATACATTTTGTTCATCATAACCACCAACAGGATTTAGCTTAATGTGTAAATATCACAGCATAAAACTGTCAATTAAATTCAAGTCCTGCATTTACAATTTTACCTAAGTAAACGTTACATATAATTAAATTTACATTAATTGAGTTTTTGTACACTTGGAGGCAGTGGAGCAGGCCATGAATACACTGATATACAGTTAATTCTTTACATATCTCCTTGTTGTTTCCGTGATTATGGGAAGAGGCTACGGCAACACTGTCATTTCCCCTTGGGATTAATAAAGTTATGTGTCTCTCTCTCTCGCTTGCTCTCTCTTTATTTAACATAGATTCATATGTGATGGTTTAAAGCATGGTTTTATATTTTTTTCAGGCCTATATTAATACAGTGCTCACATGTAGTGATGTGCGATACCACTTATTTCCCTTCTGATTAAATACAAAGTAAAATCCAGGCTATTATCATCCATACAAATAGGAAGGAAAAGCGATGGGTCCAGGCAACAGACAGTGATGGAGAAGAGAAGATATAAGGCGTATCTATGAGGGCTTGCCGCTTTTATTAACAACCCTGGTCACATAGTGTGAAGGGATGTTCCTGCAGATACTGAGCTGCCGGTGCTACATACCCAGGGACCCTTTACATGCCATCTTGGTTGTTGTTTACATCCCTCCTCTCGGCAACTGCACGCAACATCTGCTCTGCTACCGTGAGACTCCAGACTAAAACTTTTTTATTCTAATTCTCAGTGGCTCACACATTTACAGAGCCGTAGTTAACATAGACATGTGGAAGAAGAAGCAGTACCTATCAACCGGGTATTGTTTAGACTGCCCTGGTGATAGCGTAGCTACTATCTCCTGTTAAAGATAACATATACATTTACCCCAAACAGCCTAGTGATCATAAATATTGATCTTTTAACATGGGAAATCAATCCTAGAACAGGAAACATTAGGAACAGAAGTATCAATATTTGAGGATCAATCCATACATCATTAATCACATGCCCATTTGTACACTGAGACAATTATTGTCCGTAATGAGTGTAAAGCTCTCCACTACAAGACAGCACAAAATCTAAGGTGCAGGATGTGACTTCAGCAGTCCATTCCTTCACAGCTTAGATTCTTACCTTTTCTTTATTTTTCACCTTTCCTTTTATATCCATTATTTCAAGCTCGTGATTCATTTAATAATTGGCCGGTTCGGTGAATAATTTAAAAAGCCTCAAACCAATTTCTCAGAAATGCATATAAAGAAATGAGTATGATATTTCTACAAAGTGAGCAATTGAAAAGGGATCCCGGCCAGGCTGCAGGCAGCTCAACAGGACACCTCAAGCCCCCGTGTCCAGAAATGGAAGTTCTAAAGAAATAAACATGAAAATGAGAGTTATGAAAAGAAGGCAGCCGGGAGTGAAATGACGGCATTCAACTCAGAGCACACCATGTCCGTTTATATGATGCTCATTTCTCACTGATCTGAACGAAGTCAAAGGGTGCACTGGCTTTAAAGAGTTGGTCTCTTTAAGCTTTTTAATATGCTGGTCAAATAATGACTTCCTCACAGACTTTCTGACTCCTGATGAATTTCAAAATGGACCATTCATTCCACACCACAAGCGCTCTGTTTGAGTGTGTGCTCATGTGTACTTATGTATGAATGCATGTGGGGGCCAATGCCAGGGGGCCGGGCAGCACATTAGGACAGTGACTGGCAGATCTCATTTGGTGTTTAATTTCACAAGGGTGAGCTTTTACCTCTGGGGCTCACTAAACTGAATGATGCTGGTGGTTGTCTGTTGAGTGATGGTTCCACTACGAGGACTTTAGTGTGTGGGAAGCAGCGGTGGAAAGTACTCGAGTACATGTACAGTATGAGGTACTTGTAATTTTACACTACTAAACCTATAATGAGCATTTGGGCATAAAGTTCATTCTGGACCAACGGTAGATGTGAGAAAATAATCATGTTTTTCAACCAGGTTTTATAGTCTGACACCTTGGGCAATTCCATTCATTGAAAAAGACCATGAGACACAGCTGAAGACATGATAACACACAGAACATGCAGATAGAAAATACAGGTATATATGCAGATAATATCCTTTATAATGAATCGCTATCCAATCAGTATAATACCGTACAATAAGATGACATTATCACTTTGAATCCTCCTGCATGCTCTGTAACTCTTTTACATTTATGCACATTCTACTGAAAATGTACTTTTATGCCTAATGTGAAAAGGGTCGCTCTTTGTAACGAGCCCACCTACAGTACTTTAGAAATATTACCTGACCCTGCAGTTCCCCCCAATGCTATAGTGGATTTTTAGTGTGGTTCGGTTCACTGTGTTGGTTTTCTGGCTCATCAAGCTCATTTCTAGACACAGCAGGCAGCTGTTTTCAGTGAAAAGGCTCTGATAAACTCACTGAGAGCTACCCGCTCACCACCAAAGGGAAGACAGACAGAGGCGGACACAGTGGGGCGTTTATCAGCTCAGTAACCAGATATTTTTTCAGGACTTGAAGAGAGAGTACATATTAAGTTTAAAGTCATCAGGTGGTCAGAAACAAGACTCCACATGAATGCTGTGACTATTGCTCCACATCAACTGGTTGTCATATTTTATTCATATAACCCAGTAACACAAATCACAAAATTGCTCCAAAGGGTTTGTTGTTGCTTTATGTTTTATGATCACACTGTAAATTGTAATTTGTGAAACTGTAAGTTAAGGTGCCTCCCTGGATATTAACAAGATTGGATACTAACAAAATTAATGTGCAGTGAACATGTGTACGATATTGTCAGAGGAGATCGTTTGACACAGAGAGTCAGTTTACAGCAGAAAAGACTTCTTGTAGTATTCACAGCAGAGCTAACGCAAGTGTTCCACTGCCGGACCACGAGGATGTGGAAGCCATGTGGGGTGTTCTTCATGATGTTTGTGCAGCACCCTCCTCTCCACAACCACCTCCAGAGGCTCCAGAGCCATCCCAGGCACAGAGCCAGCATTGGTGACCCCAGCTGCGATGCTGCTGCCACAGCAAACTA